CTCAAAAGGTCCGATTCCCCCACTTCTGGCTCGGATTAGGCTTTAAGAACCGGGTTTTCCCGAGTTGCACGGCCAGGGTGCACGGCCGTGCACCTCACCATTCTGGCCGTGCACCCTGAAACGCAGCGTATCCCTTAAGTCGAACTCAGGCTTCTTGCACAGCCAGGTGCACGGCCGTGCAATCTTCAGGGCCTGCCCGTGCAGCTCCTCGGCATGAGGCGCACGACCAGCTTGCAACCGTGCACGACCGTGCAGCCTCCCTGGTATGCCCGTGCAGCTCCCAAAAACCTCGCCACTCGTCCGTTCTTCGTCCAATCGACCCCAGACTCGCCCCTAAGCCTTCATTCACGTACTAGGACCTGAAATATCACAAACAAGCACAACCTAGCGTGAAATCGGCCTAAAACACGAGAATCAACACCTCAAACGGTGTAAGAACGGGGGTAAAAACATGTGTAAATGACGGTCTATCACTCTTCTTAAGGCTCAGGAGGATCTCCTCTGTTTCACGAAAGGCCTGGGTACAAAGATCCTTCCTGACACATGATCTCTCACTGTCTTGAGCAAACTGCTCTATGAGAAGCCTCAATTCATAGTTTGGATCTGGCTGTGGAGTGTAGCATGGCTCTGCAGAATGGCCGGTGAAGGCCGCCATGGGTAACTCCGGCTCCGATGGCCCTTCTGGTTGTGGGAGAAATTCTTCCTGATAATGAGGTTGTTCTTGATATGCCCAGGGGTCCGGTTGTTCACCGTAGTAAGGGGGTTGGTACTGGAACCCGAATCCATAGTCTTCTCCTCCTTGATTGCTCCAGGGAGTCTCGGGGTAATACCACTCGGATGGTGGTGTATACCCCCAATGGTTGGAGAAGCCATGAGGATCCATGATTCAGTTCTGCACCAACAAAAACAAAAACACCCAAGTGAAAAGCAAGGGTGGAAAAGAAAAAAAAACTCTAAAGTAACAAACATCTGCCTTTCCTAATACTCTAGAAATTCCCCGGCAACGGCGCCAAAAACTTGACTCGCTATGACACAACTCCTAACAATGGCCAAGAGTAACCAATAAAAGGGACTGCAGTATAGTGGCTCAAGTAATAAATATCGAATCCACGGGTCTCTAGAATTACTATTACTTAGCTTCAGTTCATTATCTAGCAAACCAGATTAAGATGAAAGAACTAAAAGTACTCTAGCAAACTACAGTTAAAGTTAATCTAATTACAGGTTGGGAACTCACTTAGGTATGATTCCCCCTAGCCACTAGCCAGATTAATGATTGATGATCTCTAACCTGTTTCACTTTCATTCACAATGCGGAGAATCCTTAACTAGACCTTGAGTCTCGACTAAAGGAACAAGGCCCTCTTGAGTCAATTGCCTAGAGGGACGTATCCTTCTCTAGAATAACAGATCAAGGCGTTCTGAACTAGACTCCCTCTATCGAAAGAGGTTCTCAATCGATACAAAGCAGTGAATCAACCCTCGACTAAAGCAATCGCTCTCATAGGATCAAAGCATAATCAATAATCTCGACTAAAGCAGAATTGAATCATCAAAACATGCATAGATTGAATATGAGCTCAAGGTTATCAAGTCAGAGTACTCATACAATCATCCAATCAAACAAACATAGCTAGGGTTCCTCAAAACCTAAGTGAAGAGAAGTTACTCCATAGAGAAGAGAGAGACTGCAGTAAGAATCTTCAGATGATCAGTCTTCAAGTCCAGCCTTGTTCCTCGAGCCTCCAAGGCAAAGAAATCCTCCAATTCCACTCCAAGAATGCCCTCAAATCTCCCTCTCTCTCTTTGGTTCGTCCCTTGGGTGTTTGGGATCCAAAACCCAGCTCTCCCTCCCCTTTGGCTCGAATTTGGGTTAAAAAACCCGATTCTGAGCAAAACACGGTCGAGGGCACGACCGTGCTTTGCTTTTGCCCGCCCGTGTTTTGCCCCTTGTTAAAAACAGGCCCGCACGCGTCGCCCAAAACACGGTCGTGCCCAAATATGGGCACGGCCGTGTTTTGATTTAGGCGCGCCGTGTTTTTACTACCGAACCTATTCCCCTATATTCAATGCTTAGTTTCTCCCTCGCCCGGACTCCGAATCAGTCGCCGTTTGATCCCAGACGCTCGTAGTCTCGTCCTCTTTATTTTCATGACAAGCTTGAATGATTATTTGTCCATAAAGTGAGGTAGAAATCAATTCTTCTTCAGGTCATGCCCGAGTTTCTTCTCCCGGATCGCCAATTGATCTCTGATTGACTTGAAACTTGCGCCTACGCTTCACTTTATGTGCTAGAACCTGAAATGTGACAAAGGAACACAACCTAGCGTAAAATAGGCCAAAGACGCGATAATTAAAGCTCAAACGATCAAGAAACAAAGGGGAAAACATGTGCAAATATCGAGTCATCAACCCTCACAATAATCCAAATCTCCAATTCATTGCAAGCTTAAGTTCATCTCCCAATCCTTCAACACTACTAACCCCAAACTTTTATCAATTAAGAAGGGAATGCATCAGTCAATGAGTTATTTTTGCAAGATGATGGTGATCAAGGAAATATGGTTAATGGTGAAAGTACTTCAAGTGATCCTAAGAGTAATGATATTAGTCCTCAAGCAAATAGACACGGATGAGGGTGAGGATAATGACAACGATGTGTAACTGATGTTAATATTGATCCTAACGATCTTATGTGATTTTCTACTCTTAAGTGATTTCTATGAGGTTTTAGGTTGCTTATTTGTGTGTTTATATTATGTACAAGTATAAATATATGGATTTAATTTTGTTTATTTAGCAAACGAACTTATCTTAGGAAGTAATTATGTTTTATGTGGTTTATTGTTATTCAGGATATGCATTTTTTTTTATCACTGTGTTTTAAGTGTGTATTTTAATATGAACCTTAAAATCTTACGATTTTACGATTTCGATCTACGATTTCGATTCTATCTCAGTTTTTTATTTTACTTAAAATCTCGATTTTGACTGCATTGTGTAGGTGATTATTACAACTTCCTCTTCGATATGAAGGTTTGCCTAGTTTTTTTTTCTTTTTTCTTTTTTCTTTTTTCTTTTTTCTTCTTGTTGGCTTAGAGTTAAGTTTCTGCTATTTTGTTTCCCCTTTCCATGTTGGTAACTGAGCCTACATAGTTAAACTTATTCTTGTTGTTGTTGTTTTTAGCAAATATGTGAAGGGTCTTTTGTGTATGCAAGTGCCATAGCCAACAAGCTAATTGAAGTTGTGGACAAACAGTATGCATTCAATAAGTTGTTACTGATTATCCTGAAAGGGGCCATTTTAATTAGGATTTATGAGTTGGGGACTCAGATTTTCACATAAGGGAGCTAGAGCAAAAAGGGGCTCAAAAGAATCCATGCACTGCAACAGTTTAAACTGCTAGAAAGAGATTTAGTAGACATCAATGCCATAGTTGGTAGTTGTATGAGCAAGTTTTTATGTGTAAAGACATTGCTGACACCAGTTGGAAAAATTATATTAAATGATTGATATTGATGACTAATTTCCCCTATAGATAGGGCCTCACATAAGTTGCATGATCGTATATGTTAGTGCTAGTCGGTTATCCGGGGTACCGCATACCTTGAGTATGAAAACGCTATTTAGACCTTGAATTAGCAGGATTTTTGGACATAATATTATACCCTAATCCTTAATGAGTGAAACCTAGGTTCTAATTATCTAAATCATAAAATATAAACTCTAAGATGATGCATTGATTTTCTTGCCTATATTTGGACGAATCATAACCGTCGATCATTGTTTCTAATTAAATTGATCTTGGGGTAAACGATTTAGAGAATTATAACCTAGATTTTGATCTTTAAGGGTTAGAGTATAGTATCATGTCCGAAAGATCAGTCAATTCAAGTCCTAGATAGCGTTTTCTTACTCAAGGTATGTGGTACCTGGGATTTCACCTTGGGTATCGTAGAACTCCCCATATATATAGGTGGCTACTTCGGTGCACTCACTTTTTTGGGTGCATTCAGAGCACTCAACTCTAAAAGTGATAATAATACATCGAATTTTGAATTTTAATGGGTTCATTAGTCTAAGATGATGATATAATATAAAATCACAACTAATCCATCATTATCATAACCCCTTAACCTTCAATTTTGAATTCCAACCCAAAATCCCAAATTGTAAACCCTAACCCTAACCCTAAATCATTCAAATTAAAGTAAATCTTGAATGATTTTTGTACAAATTCATGTGTTTTTTGTTCATCAAACTACAAGTGCTGACTAATATCATTTTCACATGAATCGCCTTCTCGGAATGATGATTATGAGACGAGTGCATTAAATGCACCCAAAAAAGTGGATGCACCGAATACGCTACCATATATATGTTGATGGTTTGTGTTGTTAATGTTGCATGTTTCAACTGTAAGGGATACTGTTAATTGATTAATGAATGGGGTTATGGCTCTCTCTGATTTCTTATTAGCCTCTTGTGTTTCACGTTGCATTCCTGGTTTTTTACTATTAATGCATGCAGTCCTGTGGAGGTCTCTTTTTGGCTGTCACTCTCAGTACTAAGGGGCTGTTTAGCTGTGGTAATTGGGGTCAGTTTTCTCAAAATGCAGTAGTTGGACTCAATTCTCATGTTTGGGTATACATAAACCATGGTTCAAAAAAGCGCACCTAACCTCGCCAATATTTTATCTTCCTGGAGTCGTACTGCTGGTGGCACAAAGTAGAATGAGTAGCACCCAAACAGATCTTCAAGGTTTAAAGACAGTGAATCAGTTTGTCAATACTGAAATCAAATACAGGGGAGGCTAAATTCTAATACCAACTTTCAACAAACTATTTCGAAAACCATTTGACAGCACTTGATGCAGGTTGGATAGTTGTAACTTGTAACTCCTGCAAATCCAGGGTCCGGAAAGCAGATATGGCAACCAAGGCAGAACTGTGCGAATTCTGATGTTGACATCTAAGCACTTCTGTAGTACACCACTCAAACAAACAGCCATACCTTATTCTCTGGGAACAGAAAAGCTGCTGAAGCCTGAAGCTTCTAACCTAGCTTTTGGAGCACCGAGCAACCCGTTGATGAAGTTAGGGAATTGGCTCGGTAACTTTACAGGTGTACAACCAGAACAAGAACATTTTGCAGACCTTTGCTTTATTATTTACATTAGTGGTTCTAGTCTGAATTGTTCATGAGGACTCCAGCCTGTCGGGCAAGAAAACTTTCAAATGAGGGGCTGCAGCAGACGTTTGAATTGTGTCTCCATACTGAATACTATGCACAACGTTGGAACCGTCAATGTATAGAAAACCCTTCTCTGAGGACCAAGTCATCTCCATGGCCTCGTCTGGCTTCATAGTCCCATGCATCGTCAAGCTAGAAACAGCAGTTGCAGGTGAAATGGGTTCTCGAACCATGTATTGGAGGTCTTGCGATAAGATTGGCATCTCGAACCCACCTGCTGAGAGCATTGCAGCTGTCGAACCGGCAGCAGTTGAGACTCTAATGCCACTTCTACAGTGCACTAGTGGCGTACTTGATTTGTCACCCCTTGTAATCCTGCCAATAAACAAGGAAACAAGATGGATAACATCCCAGCAGCGTATTTGGTTTTCTAGCAAACAGGAAAAACGCCCCTTTACCTAAATGAAAATCGAGAGACTGTTGCAGGGCATGGGTGTGCTACCAATATGTCGTTAAGGGCAAACGTAGATAACAGCTGTGAGTTTACTCGAATCGACATCCTCAACAATTCGGAAGGCTGTTTACGACCGTCTAGGATATCATCTAGAACCTGAATAGATTTGTGTCAGCTAGGAATGAGGAAGGACAGGATAACCCTTTAGCAGAAGAACGATTTCAATCATACTATAACAAACGCACAAGGTAAGTTTTTACCTGTTCAAAGTTATTCATAGTTGCCGCACACACAGGTAGCCAGTGCTCCTGGTAGCATCAAAATCGTCACCAAATTCCTCAACCTACAAGAGAAGGCACTGAAATCAAGTGTAAAATGCAGCAAACTCCCAGATGCTACATAGACTGGATCAAGAGCCCTACCTCTTCAACTTTAGTTGGGTCTGAGTTCACTCCAAGAACCGGAATTGAATCTTCCATGAAATGACTTGCTTTCAGAAGAGTGCCATCACAACCAACAGTAACAACAAAATCAAAATTATGAATTGGTTGAGACAGGTTAGCACGTAAAACCGGCTCCCAATCAACTGCCTTCCTCTGTAAAATGCTCTGACAGAAGTTCACAGCTTCTTTGTGGACCTTCCGCCTATTATCTAGGAATTGAAAAATCTGCAATGTATGAAATAGATGTCCACATTAGATATATGGAGATGGCAAGCATCAGCCGACAAAGGGCTTAACTCGGCAATTGAATTATTTCGAATTATGCAAAAGAGCTTTTAGCTCCAGAAAGGGGAAAAAACAAAGAACAGGGTAGAATAAATAGAGAAACTTTGGTGTCAAGATGTTCTCCTTATAGAAATCGGGGATCATTCAACCTCTATACCTCATATACCACGTCGAACTCTACAACAGAGCATGACTAAGCTGAAGAAACTCTTGTTGTAACAAAAATGGTTTGATAAGTCAATTGGTTTTGTTAACAGCCCAAGCTTCAAGGTATAGGATCCAGAATGAAATAGACGCAGACCACATAAAAGCAAAAAGGGGAACTTTGTCCTGAGTGAGGCATTTCATCGAACAGGACGTCTTCGTGACATTCAAGCTGAACACAAGACAAGAAACCCAGAAAGAAGACCCATCGATTCCCTACCATTTTAATAATTAAACTAACTAACACCCTCACAAAACCAACGGAGAAGTAAAAGTTGGGTAGTTCGTGGAAATGCATCCACCTTGGGATTGGTAATGCGGGACTGACAGAAGTGTTGGCCAACTGGGTACATGTCGAAAGGCTTCAAGAGCAGTAGCAGCCTCATCTTCGCCATACTTGACCTTCCTGTCACTCTAGCTGTCTAATCCCAAGGCATGGACGCATCTTCCGGAGCCAAATAGCGTTGGTTGCTGGAATTCTTATTCACTACCGGCAAATGCTCAATGTGACAACCATGGGTTCAAGAGTCTTAGACTCTTTAAAACCACTGGGCTTTGCTGCGGGCTTCACGGGCGATGATCCAATATGGGAATCCAACGTGGTTGTCAAACTGTTTATACTTGGTTTAGCGAGTGAAAAGATTCCACCTATTGTACAACCTGTTTGAACTTTGTTGAAGCCATTTTGTTGAGGAGTCCAAAATTAGCTTAACAAGTCTCTTATCAATCAAGCAAACACTCTTGTTTGTGGCGAAATTCTACCTATCCATCGTCTTTCGTTCAATTATTTTTTGTTCGAGATTAGTTGCGTACTTTGATTCAAATCCAACCCCCCCCCCCCTCTCTTAGGGTTAACTCTTATAATCAAAGCGGAAACAATGGATTGGATGAATCAGCTTCGTCTAGTCAATCTATGCCAATTCCTATACAAGGGTATGACTTAAATCTTAGTTTCACAGTTATTTAGCATCTTACCTCATTTGATTGCTCCGGAGCATAATGGATTTTCAGATCACCAGATTATTGTCATATCTTGGTTGGTTATGAGCTAATGCATTTCATTAAGAACAGACATCGAGGTTGTAATTTATGGCCCTAAAACTTGACATGAGAAAAAGCTTATGATCGCAGAGAGTGATCATTCTTGTTCTATATTCTTCAAACTTGCAGCAGAGTGATTGGTTATCCCTAATGCTTTTTTGTGCATTGTAGAAGAGGCGTCACAACAATGCTCAAACAATTGGTCGCATCTCGTGAGCTTCATAAGGTTCGTATGGCAAGTATAGATGTCCTCAGGTTTTCCACCTTTTTTGTTGATGATTCTTACTTCTATCTTCAAGCATTGCAGAGTGATTATGACATTTCATTACTCCTTTTGAAATAATATGAAAGTGTTAGTGGTCAGCGGGTTAATCTAAAGGAATCTACAGTGTATTTCAGCCCAAATCTTGAGCAAGAAGCGCAAGAACAAATCATAGAAATAATAAGATAAATGAAATACGTGTTATTAGTAGTTAGTCGTCTGGATTTGTGCGTGGCCTTGACCCGTTGCTAAGGCCCAAGAGGTTGTTGAGATAGACATTGACCTATTTATTAGCGTTATTAAAACCGAACCGAGCCGGCTAGCCCAATCGGTAAAACCATCACCCGCCCGCCAAACAGGTTCGGATCAGTCAATAAACGGCAATAGATTTTTGAAGTGATCGGCAAGCGGCCGAGATGGTTAGCCGCTCGACCCGCTTTCTCGATTTTTCCCTTCTAACCGAGAGAGAAAGGAGAAAGATGATACAAACAAAATCAAACACCAACAGCCGACCTTGGCCTCCAATTCAGCCTGCCCAAACAACCACCACTGGCTAGCCTATCGTCTCCGCCCACAAGTTCCAACGAGGCGATGAGGATAGATCAACCGCAGCCGGCCTATGACTACAAAGTAAATAGGATAGGAAAAGCAAAATAGGATAGGGTGGAGCGAAATCCTCTTTTCTCTGGTGCTTAAGATTGGGGCAGGGTTGGTTTTTAGTTGCTATTTATATAATGTGTAAAATTAGTAAGTGATACCTGCAAAGTAAATTTCATTTTAGTCATTCAATTGTTAAATTATTACCTTATGTGTCTTCTACTTATGATTTTATGATTTATAAGGTACCGATTCTCTAACGATTTTTTAATAGTCCAATACCTGTTGGACCACTAAAGTGCAAGTCATTCACATTTTCGGGTTATACTCCGATTCGGTTCTGACAACATTGCTTTTCACTGATCGTTTTCCACTTTTGACTAGCAAGGTCGTATATCAATCACAAGATAGTAAAGAGCAAGGTGAAGAACATGTATACAAGATTCTTTGTTAACCTAGTTCAGCCTATTGCTTACGTCTCGGCTCAAAGGTGGCTCACCCTTTGATACCTAGTGTCTAGGTTTTATCTTATTCCATTCTAACTCCAAGTTGAGTTCATTTCGAGTGGAACTCTAAACCTTGACAAGAATAGAGCAATATAGCTCTTCTCCCTTCCTCACAAGCACTCACACTAAAGAGAGAAACTACACAACCTCACAAACACTACAGAAATACAGACAGTGAACACATGTCACTTTTTACACCTATTGCTAATCACAGTGTTTGATCTTGCTTTGTGTAGGATTGCTCTATCACATTCTGTGAGCTTGTCTTGTTGCTTCCTTCTATTTATACTCCCTTATTACTTCTTTTTGTAGCAGGTTTACAATAAAATAAAATTTATACTTCCATTTGATGCAGTGGTCTCCTCGTGATCTGTTGAGAGATTCTTTCCTGTAATCACATATTCACAACTATGGTAAGTAATAATTTGTTTCATTTTACCTTGACGGAAAGGGAAGGCTTTTCCTCTACAATCTCCCCCTGCTTTTATTTTCTGCAATTTCGCGCATTTCTTATAATTGCATGTGTGTTAACAGTGATGAAAGCATCAAGGCTCCCCCTCAACCTGTTATCTCCATTAGATTGGAGATTGTCTATTCCCAAGTCATTCACACACCAAGTGATGAAAGCATCAAGGCTCTTAATCCCGGATCTAGTGGCAAAGAGTTTACATCAAACTCCCTATCCGACTTTGCTGAAGAAGACTCACTTTTCTCTGGAGAGTAATTCACTGAACTTGAAAGATTTGGTTCTTGTGTTTGAGTAGCTCCCACTGCCTGCGAGGGAGGAAAGGTTTGAGCTTGTCTACTTCCACTAGCTTCAACACCTTCAGTTTGAACATTTGGACTACTAAGGACCTTTCTTGTGTAATATCTTTCCATTTGTTTGTACCTAATTCAGAGACAACAATAAAAACAACTAAGGAATGAATAAAGAGCATATTTCTGGAACAAAACACCCTGTCGCAGCATCCAAACTTCTCCTGCTCTCGGCTCCCACCCAAACAAGAACAAAGGCAAGTAGGCAACGAAGAATGCAACTAGGGATGGCAACTTTGCCCATACCCATGGGTTTCTTACTATCCAACCCAATTGGGTTGGGTATGAAATCCAAATAGATGGATATGGGTAGAGTTTGATGGTTTTGTACCCATACCCATTTACTTTGGGTTGAGTTGGGTTTATATCAAATGGATTTGGGTTTGTACCCATGTCCAAATACAAATTACAGTTTGGTACCCAAACTTAATAGATATGCATATTTAGTACCTAAATTTAATTTTTTGCATATAAGTCCTCAAAATATCGATGGAAAATTACGTTTTGGTACCTAAATTTTTTTGGTCTTACATTTTGGTACTTAAACTTTTAAAGTTTTACAAATAGGTCCAATTTTTGCATGTGTAGTTAAAACACCCTCAAGTAAATGGATATCCATATCCAACTCATACTCATTTAGATTATGAAAGCAATATTCATACCTTACCCAAACCCATCTATAAACCCCCAAATCCATATGCACTTCACCCATACCCAACCCATTATCAATGGGTCTACTTGGGTTTGGGTATAATTACCCATGGGTGGGTAATTTGCCATCCCTAAATGCAACATATGACTACCAAATAAGAACAGGACCCCACCCAATTGAAATTCACAGACAACAATTGAAATTATGAAACAAGAAAACTTTGAAACCTACCTGTGTTATGCGAACAGTGGCTGCTGCGGAGTAGAAGGAGGAGGTTGGATTCGAAAGAGGAGGTCGGAGTTGGAGATTCGTCGGCAAACAACTGGTCTGCCGTCGCCGTTGCCTGATGGAGCCTTGGAGGAGGAGCCGAGCAGATGCTCGAGTGGCACTGGCCGCTGGGAGCTGGTTTCGGGAGTGCGGCTGTGCGAGGGCGGCAGCGGCGGAAATCAAAAGGCGATTTCTTTGGTCTCCGCTGATGGAGGGGTGTCCCGATATTGTTAATTAATTTTTAGCTGTCTGGCCCATTCAAGTTTTGATTAATAAGTATGTTTCCAAATAATGACAAGAATTCGGATGTAGCCCAGCGGATAACATTGACATTAACAATTACCGTGTCCTGAGTTTGAATACCACCAATTACATGTGTATTTTTTTTTCGCCATAAAAATTCTACTACCGGGGGATCGATAATTATTTTTCCAAATTTTAGGGTAATTATTTTTCCAAATTTTAGGGGTGTCCCGGGACACCCCTAAACATCCATAAATCCGCCCCTGAACTTCCCCCATTCATTCAGCGATCAAGACTCCCACATCACCATCCAAGAGATCACATTCCAAGCACATTCGCCCTCAGTCATCTAGCCCCATCATCTCTATTAATTTTTCCACGGGCAACAATCCAGGCCAAAGAGCTGCTTTCTAGCAACAGAGAGTGGCGTCCCTTTCTTCTCCTCAAACACGCGTTGGTTCTTTTCCATCCAAATGAACCACCAAACAGATTTCAGGATCTCAAAGTTAAACCACCTCTTGATACTCTCCTCCTCTAGAACTAGGCCATTGCTTGATAATCGAAACAATGTCCCACTCCATAAATTCCAAAGATCGCCAGTTGCCCAAACTGTTCCTCCATACTTCTTTGACGAATTTACATTCCACGAAAAGATGAAGGGTTGTTTTTTCCTTGACCTGACACAAAGCACACATGTTCTCCAAGTTCCACCCTCTCCTTTTCATGTTGTCCAACGTCAACAAAGTTTTTTAAAGAATGGGGGCCTGATATGATCCCAAACACCCCCTTTCACAAGTCTGGGTTACTTGCCAAAGAAGATGTCTCAACTCATTTGAAGAACCTTGAATTTTGGCCAAGTATTGTGACTGTTTCAGGTAGCTATCCTTACAAGCATGGTTCTCTCATTTTGGCTCGATGGAAATGGGATTTGGAGAGTTTGTTTTGAAGCTGGGGAGTTCCTCTACAAGCTGGAGTGCTTGGGAGCTCGAGGAGAGGCTGGAACTTCATTTTTCAAGCTCACCAAAAACCTATGTCAACACAGGAAATCTGCCAGAATTTGGCTAAGTTTGGGAACGTGTTCGTAAAGGCGATTTTGGAGCTATGCTCGAGAGACGAGAAGCATGGTGGCGATTTGAGCCCAGAGAATTACCCACATGGAAGTAAGTACAATCTACTACAAAGGTGTGGAGTTGGATGAAGGAATGGGTACCTGGAGGTCTTCGATCGAGAGGCTCCAAGATGGCATCAAGATTGTTTGTTACTTGCGTTTTAAATTTTCCTTATTGCCTTAGGATTATGACTGTTTTGAGTTTCCTTGTTTCATTAGACTTACTTGTTGTTTTAGGTTACTTGTTATGTCTATTTAAACCTCAAAGGGACTTGTAATCGTTCATTATCAATTGATTGAATTTTAAACCCTAAAAACTATGTTTGAAAGCTTGTTTTTGGTTGAGAGTTTGGCCGAGAAAACCAAGCTCGATTGAAGGTAATCGTTCATTATCAATTGATTGTAATCGTTCGTTATCAAAATCGCATTGATCGTGGGCGAGCATCGACTTATAGTTGATGAGCCTTCCTCCAAGTGTAGGATTGCACACAACTTCCATTCAAATTCGTTCTTCCTCATCTGCATAACTCTATTTCCAGTTTTCTGGCGACATCAATTCAAGGTGCAAGCTTGTATTCCAAGCCTTGCATTCAAGAATCAAATCCAACCCACTCAGGGGGTTATAATATTAATTGTGATTCTATGTTATATCATAATATTAAACTAATACCATCAATTAAAGTTCAAAATTTGATGTATAATGACCACTTTACTTACGAGATAAGAAACTTGTTCTTAATTAACCTCAAACAAGCACAATCTGCTTAAATATATGTAAAATTTTGGTTAGTAAGGGTAATAGAATAAATTCATAATATAACCACAAATATAATTTAACAAAGTGCATCATCAAATATATCAAGCAAGGACTGGATTTATCCAAAAACCAAATGGATCAATTTCGTCATAAATCCATGGTTTTCTAAAACCCAAGTTTTAACAAAAATCTTTATTTTTCAAATCCGTGAATCAGACGACCCCTTAAGGTTTGTTTGATTTATGGATTTGGTGATGATTCGAATCCATTATAGACGTTGTCCAAGCTCAATTATTTGTTTCATGTATTTAGGGATAATAAATTTGTGGGATCGTCCCAGTATTTTGAGGGCCCAAATCCGTGGACCCCATATACTTGAATATTACACCCCTTTAGGTGGAAATTGATTAACAAAATACATTATAACAAGAAGGAAAATAATGTATACATTGACATGAGAGAGACTAGAGAGGGAAATAGAACATTCCCGAGAGAGGGGGTGAGGGAGAGTTTTTTGTTTTGCAGGTAGGAGAACAAGGGATCAAAAGGATCGAAGCTCGGCGGCGGGGAAGCAGAGGTCGGGTGCAAGAGTCAGGTTAAGGTGGGTTCAAAGATTGTGTCAACTCGGAGATATTGGGGTCAAGTTTCCTTCAGGTTACAATTTGAAGGCCACGGAAGACTATGGAGTAGGGTTGTGCAATGTTTCGGTCCCTATCGGAAAACAACATACCAAATCAAAGTTTGGATAGGACCGCCAGACCGATTAAAACACGGTCCAGTCCATTGTCCCATTGAATTTTAAAATTACTGAAGAAATGATGGACCGGGCTAATATTTGTACCAGACCGAATTAGACCAACTGGACTGAATACAATGATGGTCTGGTCCTTGGTCCTAAGATATCTTTCACTAATAGACCATGGTTCTCATGAGTTTGGTCTGGTCCGGACCAAACAAAACCGAACCGTTGCACACCCGTACTATGGAGCATTTTGCTGGATGATACCCTCTTCGCTTGGGTGCTTGACTCGCTATGACACAACTCCTAACAATGGCCAAGTGGAACCAATGAAAGGGACTACATTATAGTGGCTCAAGTAATAAATATCGAATCCATGGGTCTCTAGAGTTACTATTACTTAGCTTCAGTTCATTATCTAGTAAACCAGATTAAGATGGAAGAACTAAAACTACTCTAACAAACTACAGTTAAAGTTAATCTAATTACAGGTTGGGAACTCACTTAGGTATGATTCCCCCTAGCCACTAGCCAGATTAATGATTGATGATTTCTAACTTGTTTCACTTTCATTCACAATGCCGAGAACCTTGACTATTTCACTTAATATTTGTCGTTTACTTCGAGTGGTTTTGACCCTCTTTTTGACAAAATCAATTTGTTGGTAGTTGCTTGGAGTTGGTTGATTTTTGGAGAAAAGCTTCCCATGGTAGGAAGATGAGATATGATTATGAATGATGATAATAGAAAGATGGATGGGATTTAGGTTTACACACACCTGTTGTCTTTGTAGTTTGGGGAAGGGATGTGGCTGCCTTCCTCTCCTCCCTGCTCCTTTTCCTTTCTGCCTTTTTTTTATTTTCTGCTCCTTGTATTGTTGTGGTGTTGGTGAAGGTTTTCAAGAATTTGCACTATTTCTCTTGTCTTTGCTTGTCTGTTGGTGTCGAGGAGTAAGAAGATGAGGTGGGAATGGATTTTTGCAGAGTTCCTCTGTTCTTTGAGTTTTGTGGATTAGGCAAGAAGGTTGTGGGTAGGATTTTTTAGTTCTTGAGCTCTCTGTTTCTCTTTGTAAGAGAAAGAAGCTCTCTGTTTTCTGCAGGTAAGAAGGGAAGCAAAAGGAAAGATTGGAAACCGTAGGGAAGAAGAAGAAGGCAGTCTCTCCTCTGTTTATTTTCGCAGAGTTTTATCCGGATGAAGAAGAAGCTGTCTCCGCCTCCTTTGCAAGAGCCCAAAGAGTTCTTTTTAGGAAAAGGCAGCTTGGGGAATAAGTTTGCTACAGTAGCGGTTTTGGGTTGGAACGGTTTGGGTTTGGTCGGACCTGACCTGGTTGACCGTTTTGACTTTTGTTGACCGCGTTGACCAAGAATTGACTTTGACTTTGGCCCTAAATTATTTTATTGTTGTATTTTATTTGTAAATTTAATGTAATAACTATTGAACAATTATTATGTAATAGCATTGTGCTTGTAGAATTATTTATTTTTTATTTAATTCCAATTAAGTTTAATATGATGCTTATTTATGTTTCTTGATCCGACTTATTTTTTATTGTTCAAAATTGAGGCCCAATCATTGCAAGATCCGAAGTCTTAGCGTCAATTATATGATCATCCGATTTGTTTGACCGAAGCAAGTCAATACTATCAAATTGTACCATGATTTGTGATTACAAATTCGCTATTGAGAATCTCATTTAGTTATGGCAAATAAGACTCAATCGAAACGCTACAAATATGTTTTACTTAAAAGGTCATTTAGTTATGGCAAATCTTAAACAAAAAACTATATTTTTATTTAGTTATATATGTTTTAGCCCGGACAAAAAGTGGTGTCTACACAAACCATCAAACGCGAATTTTCATCAAGTAAATTGAAAGAACCAATTCTCCAAAGAGGGTAACCTGGATCTATAAAATGACTTGGCCAAAATTTAGAATTGTTGTTAGTGTTTGGGTTTGCTTCTTGATCAAGCAATTCAGGTTGAGAGAGTGATCCAATTGGGATCATATCATACTTTAGCTGGAACATTAGCTCCTCGTGATAGAACTATTGCAGTAGTTTGATCAGAGGAGCCCAATTGCCTGGCTCGACGGTAGTCGGTTTAATAACCATGTACGTCCTGCCATTATTTGCTTGTTCTAAAATCTGTATAAAATGACCCCATCGATTACTTGCCCTACCCATATGAATGGCTATGTTGCCACTCTTCTTCACAATCCTTCGGCAACCTCCATCCCTTTCTTATTGTTGTTTGTAACACACCTAGCACTGATGACTCGATATTTGCACATCACATCTTTTCCCCTTTGTTTCTTGATCATTTAAGCTTGCATTATCGCTTCTTTAGCCTATTTTATGCTAGGTTGTGTTTCTTTGTCACATTTCAG